CACGACTGATTAGTGGAGGCGTGTGCTGTTTGTCTTATCACATCTCGCCCTCGCCCAGAATAACGAAGCAGGTTCAACAGGGTGTTTGTTTTGTTCCAAACAGATGTCATACCATACACCAATGAATACTTGAATGAAACAAAAACCCCGCTTGAACTAGTTTCATTTTCACCATCCCCTAACAGGTTTTTTCTGATGCTAAAAGCTTATAAGAAAAGAACTGAATGCAGGCTGACTAAGACAGCCTACATTCCTCAGGTCAATTTCAACTTGGTAGATGAAGTGTACCTGGTTTTCCGTGTCACGTCCGCCGCAACTCGGTTTGTGATAACCAGTTACTACAACAGGAAATGCTAAATATAATGGAGACGGTCATCGTACACATAATGAAGTGTTCAAGGTTGAAGATAGAGCCGCATCGAACCGTTAATGTTGTCTGTTCTTGAATACGGTACAATAGTGAGAATATCGGACTCGAGTTATTCGGATTTCAGTAGACGGTGAAAATCCGCGATTTGTTACGCTTGGTCAGCCGTGGTGAACTCGGGTCACACATGCACACAGGTAAGCCACATTAACTGAGAAACTCAGATGGAACACTTATTTGCAGATGAGGACTGGCGAACAGACGTTACTTTTCAGTGCCATTCAGACAACGTAACCATAACAGTCACGAAGTGATGTGAGCTGTACATTTGTACAAATTCACAAGAGTCACTTGCAGATGACAGCCACGGGTCTATAAAATCAAGATTAAAGATAAATGACCTGGCCTAAACTTATGTTCTGACCTCACTGGCCTTAACTTCACTTTGCTGAAAATGGCCTTTAGTGTAACAGCAAAGACCAGTGAGATTTCCAAAGATCAAATCCTCTCCACAGAAAGAAAGAGAAGGAAAGCGTTCAGCTGTAGCACCCTTCCGGTGCCTAGCTGTCACGCCACCCGAAGGAAGCACGAGGGCTGGGATACTGCCAGGTTGCCGAAGCCTAGACAGGGGAAGTCGAGAGGCGGAGGTCGGATTCGAACCACGGACCTTCCGGTCAGTAAATTCGCGCTCTAACCACTTGGGCCATCTCGTCCCCACTCCACAAAATAGCGGCTTCGAATAATAAAGCGAAAGGGATATCTAGAAGGCCAATTCCGTAATTATTTGAGGAACATAGGCCGAAAGGCAGTTGCATTAGGAAACTGTGATAGCCTAAGAAGTCAAAATTCGTAACAGTGGTTCACACTTGTGGGCATGTGAACCAAGTCAGCAGACGCATCCACTTAAAATAACTTTCATTGTTAATTCGTAACAGTGGTTCACACTTGTGGGCTTGTGAACCAAGTCAGCACACGCATCCACTTTCATTGTCTCGCGACCCTCCAAATACAAAGCCCCGAGCGTACATGGCCACGCAGCCCCTCCATGGCTCCCGGTAAAAGTTACTTGCAGGATTGACAGACCCAAGCAATTCAGCTTTCCGTCTTGTAGTTATCATTTTGAGAAATGCTTTTTCAGACGGTCCCAGGAACGCGAATTTCGCGTTTACCAACCTATGAGTTGCCCGCTGGTTCCTTACCACCAATTCTGGATCGACTAGTCACAACGCAATCTCAGATATAATTCAGTTTAATCGAATCACTATTGATATCACGATTGTGTCATCGTTACACAACCCCATTGACGTTGGTTTTCAGACCATGTTCAGTCCATGGCCCCGGGATGCACCAGGGTGAATGAAGGGTTCGTTTGTCCAGCCTGAAATCAAATACTTTATACAAAGTCTTCGGACACCTATTCTGAGCAGGTTTTAAGCGTTGAATCAAAACTAGTGGTTAGTTCCGAGAAAGGGATATCCAACACAAAGCAAAGTAAATGACAATTCTCATTGTTTAAAAAGTAAATAGGCTGTGCTCAGTCCTACCTTGATGAGACTGCCGCTGAGTTGTTGTTGGCTTGTCCAAGGGGATTACTTCTTTCACGTTGAACTCACTCTCGGGTAGCATATCGAGACGGATTTGCGATTTGGAGTTAGTTGTCAAAACGGAACCGGACGAGTTCGGATCGGGAACCACTGGTTTCGAATTGGCATCCACTGGTGGAAATGTTACAGATTTTCTCGACTCCAAGAGACCAGTCTTTTCCAGTGAAGCGCTAGGCGAACTAGGTATTACCACGTGGTCACCACTAGGTTGCTGACTGATAGGATTGATGGCAGACTGTTGACAAGTATTGTGCACATGAATCGACTCGCGCGAGCAGGGCAGATACAGATCTGTTCCCGCATTGTTCCCGGCATGTTGTGAATGCATGGAGTTTGTTACATAGCGGACCACATGGCGAGTTCGAGTCAGCAACAGGTAGTCCAATACAGTGGACCATGTAGACACAGCGATAAGCGAGAAGTAGATGAGGATGAAGTTCAGAATGCACAACAGCGACTGGCCAGAGCTGACGGAGACCGGAGAAACAGGAAAGAAACATCAAGGTTGTTTGGAAGATGCTAGACTTGGGTGATTCAACCAGAGTACTGAAGTGAATGATGGTCCATTGGGTGTTGATCAGGTGGCTGTTGATGTTTCCAGAGCTTGGCAATGGGCTTGCAAACGTTTCGTCACCATACGAGGAGACATCAGTGCGCAGTTGGGTGGGACATGATGTGTCCCCGTATGGTGACGAAACGTTTGCAAGCCAATAGCCAAGCTCGGCGAACAGATCAACAGCCACCGGATCAACAACCAAAACACTCACCCGAGCTACCAATATTTCAACATATTACCGAGTGATGGTCCAGTCAAAATAAAAGATAAACTAGCATGTAACCGTGACACAAATCACAAAGGTGATGACAGCGTGTTGTAACCCTAGACAACAAGACAAGAGAAACGTCTACATGAAAGAAAACGGGTTTTATTCCCAGTATATAACATGAACAGGTTCAGATATATGGAACTCCTTCACCTTAGTGAACTAAGTTAGATTAGGCGTAATAGCGTGCAGCTCTCTGAGCCGATTGATTAGGAGAAAAATCACAGCATCATGAGAACGCATCCAATCACGTTAGCATCAAAAAGCGAGTTTCGCGAGAAATTCACACATGAAAAAGGAAGATCGTAATGGGGTATTCTCTTGCACTGACACCCTATGGGAGTGGACGATGTTGTCAGCGTGATGTGCCTCACTACGCTACTTAAAAGGTTGCTGAAAAGTCCTCAATGGCATGTGCTCAGTTTGGCCTTTTTTGGGCCTCATCAGGTAGGCACGGGTCCTGAAATTCCCTCATTCATATGATCTACGTGAACCCAAACTGGACAGACTACGACACATACTCTCATTTGCCCACGAATTTAGTTTCGACAGGAAACTCAACTGAATGCAGCTAGACCACTTGTTTATGCTGATCCACTTTTGTCCAATTGAGGTTCAAGTAGAACATAAAGTCGACGGAAACTAGGGGGACTGTGCCTACCCGATGGGTCCCAAGAAAGGCCAGTCGTAGGTTGTTGAAAGATTTTCAGCCAACTAATTAGGTTATGAGGTCATGCACATTTTCACTGCAAGAGCGTTCAGCTGTAGCACCCTTCCGGTGCCTAGCTGCCATGCCACCCGAGGGAAGCACGAGGGCTGGGATACTGCCAGGTCACCCAAGCCTAGACAGGGGAAGTCGAGAACAGCAAGAACAGCAAAGCAGATATCGCATTTGCCATTGCAGATACAGTTACTTGAAAGCCTGAAACCTCTGTTCCCTAGTGAAATTCCTCCCAGTAGGGAACTCCTGGGTTAGGAACCACTGACATCTGAAGAACAGCAGATCTTCGTTATACCATCATACCATTAAAAAATTTTCATTTTTCGACCGTTGAAAATCTGCACAAGTGGTCTTTTACTCCGTATTACCTACCGCACAAACCATCTCGATATTCGTCTCCCAAAACACAGACTGTAAAGTCCGTGTTTCTGATCTTCATGTCAATTGCCCCTACCGCAACTGTGGTCTCGATCCATGCGCAAAACAAGACGCTGACAAACCGAGTTCGTTCCTAAAGGAAAGTACTCACAAGGTTGCTGAAAACTCTTCGACAGCAACCTTGTGAGTAGTTTCCTTTATGAAAATATACTGCGATATCTCGAATATCGTGCCAACTGAATCATGAGGCGGCCTGTGTGCAGCACATTCAGCTGGAGGACATCATAAACGAGAGATTCAATTGAGTCTCCAGTGAAAACCAAATTGATTTGCAAATGAGTGTATTTTTCGAGTTCGTTCCTATTCGAACAGGCACAAAACACTGAGTTCTCTTTATTCATCGCGTCCATGCGGATTGAAGAGATGGATCATGGTATGTCAGCATTCTATTCATTCTCAGCAACCACGAGACGTTTCATGTTTAAAGTCTCGTGGCTGATGAGGGTAAATGAGATATCAAGAAACCATGGTCTACGTCCTCTACCTGTATTGGTGCTAACGGTAAGCACTGGTGTCGCAGATAAGTGAGTGAAATTTTCACACCGCGTTTCCGACTGCAACAGAGGAGGACACACATAGACAAAGGCAAGGCATGAATCGCCACATTATTGCTGATGTAAAAACTTGACAGACCAACTGCTTTTTAGTTAACTGAACCTGTCGATTCATTCGTGGTTTAAGCTGTTTGGCTATGACATCTAGACGGTGTTGGACTTCAACCGATCGCCAGAAAAGTGAGGTGACAATATAATAGTTATCGCCAAGTGTAACCAGCCACCCCACAGTGGTATCAGTAATTCGTTTATGCGGAGCCGTCACGAAGAGACTGGACCTTACCGTGGTGTGACGGTTTGCGCACCTCAGCGATCCATTGAGCTATACTGGAGAGTGTCCGGCGACACTCACAGAGTCTCTCATACCAAGTTGGTCAATAGTTAGAGGTCTGACGAACACAGTCTCCTGGCCCTCCAGGTTGGGGGTTGGAACATGTGGCGACTTGTTCCGTAGAAATGGTAATGCATTTGCATTTCCCGCCAAACACCGCTGCCTTGCGGTTAGGCTTTTGAGCCAAAGGCTTTGGTTGAGGACCCTAATCGTCCTCCTGTCTAGGTGTGGGCGCCCTGGCAGTATCCCAGCCCTCGTACAACCATGACCTACACAACTAACAATATTCTCATGCCACATCGGCCGTCGCGTGGTGCCATCAGCCGGGTCGCCTTACTTGCTGCATACAGCAGGGCGGGTAAGCG